GTCAGACACTGAGAGAGATAGGAAGTAAACATGAGACAGTAGCCCGGTTGGTGACACAGGACATTGAATTTACATTTAATACTTTGATCTTTAAGCCACTTGGAGAGTGGGCAGTTCATCACTATATACCAATTGTAATCAACATTTATATCAAGTAATTAACGGTTCATTTAATCAATTTAAATGTTTGTCCTGACATATCCTGTGTGAGTTATGAAGGAGGGAAAAAAATGTAAATTATTGTTTTGCAGTTTTAGCACCCTCAACCCACAGATGTATTTGTCCCCTTCTTACGTCGTCATTCTCTAAGCAACAGGATCATTTTTCATGCCACGGCTGCTGCCCAATCACAGGTTTAGGGCGTACCCTTGACTCGGCAATCATTTTAGCATGCCCTGCCAACCTAATCAAATTTTCCATCAGCCCTAACAGTTATACAGTTGTCCATGGGCATGCCCTGCCAACTCTTAGCTGACACACCAGTTTATACACACGGATTTGCAGAAATGCTGTTCTTGAGTTTTCTTCAGAATACACAAACAGAGCCCAGTGAGTGCATCGTGTTCGAGATGAACTGATTAGTTGAACTAGTTAGTTGTGTGAATTACAATAAACTATTAAAAAATGTGTTTCCCTTATGCCAATACCAGTAATCTAATAATGGACCTGGAAATGTAAATTAGATGCTTGCATGCCATGATGTGTTCATTAAAAGGTTCTTACATATATTTACATTGAATGTTTCTCACCAGAATGCATTGTGCAAAAATACAAATATTCTAATTATTGTGGTACATTTTCATGTAATATATTAAGTTACTGATCTTTGAAAAAAAAAATAATGTAACCAATGCATTGAATTCAGCTGTGGCAGAGTGCATCTCTATGTGGAAAGCTGCAGTTGTTCCAGTCACAGCCCAATGGAAACATTAGTACGAGTGTTAAGTGTAACTGGCACATGAACCACTTTCAAGAAGGTTTTCAGGGTTGCTATGTTTGCATTATGTCAATGTCCCTGCCCTTTAAAGCCCATTATTTGATCATTTATATAAATGACATATATTAACATATTTTTTTAAATAACAGTAAGGGTTAAGTATGAATGAAGGACCACTTTTTAATCAAAAGCAGATGCTGCACCCCTATAGATCAAATGAATTCAAGAGCTGTCACCACAATCAGTTTTATATTATGGTACTTGAGTCTTTAGTGGCTTTATATGAAATGGTGCTCCATAGGTTTCATCTATCATCTGACTTGATGATTTGCACCTGCTTTGTAAGTTGTGCGGTTCAACGAATGATGATACATTCGGCTCGGTAATGAAGTCTTTATGAAACCAAATTACAAAGGTCCAAACATTAAATGAATGCAGCCATTGATTTAATAAAGTTACATGATGTATATATTGAATTTGTGTTGTGCAATGTGTGTATGTGTGTAAGAGGCAGGCAGACACAGGAAAAGACAGATACAGGTCCTGTTTTTTTTTTTTTTTTTGCTGTTTTTTATTTCTCGTGACTCGGTGTCAGTTTATTTGAGCAGCACAAAGGCAGCCCTTGCTTGCTGACACGCGTCTGCTAAGAGGTAAGGCAAACATCTGTCTCCTGTCACAAGCCTTCACATTGCTTTTGCCCAACAAGCTATGATAAGCCACCATCAGTTCAGAGATGAGGCTTCGTGTGATCGTAAAGCAATCTTCGAGCACCCAAATGGACGAATAGCCTGAAATTAAATTGCAAATGAACTTCTAAAGATGTAAGGAGAGGTAGGATCAAATGTTAATTAACTCCACTGTTTTAAGCTCAAAGGCCACTCAGGACTCATCTCGTAATAGAAGTCAGTGCTGCTGAAGAGATCAGCGCAGGCAGTCTGTGGTCCATTATACTCCTGCTGAGTAAATCAAACTACTGTACACTTCTCTCATGCTCATGGCTTTATGAGCGTCTCATGAAGCAAGCTCTTACAAAGCTACAATTATACAGAAGGGTTATTCCACGATCTGTGGAATCATGGATTATCAAATATATATTTTTACAGAGTCAACTAAAGTGCTTTTTTAAAATTCACAATAGGAATAAAGCATATTTCTTTTCGATCAGAATCGCAATTTGATAGAAGCATTCTCACCATGAATTAGATGCAATATGGACTGAGTAAGAAAAATATATATTTCAGGGAATGTACAAGCAATTTGAAGGAGTTCACTGCATGAATCATGAAGCCCTGTTAGGTTCCGTGTTGTTGCTTCCAAGTTTTTACATTTTTTGGTAACATTTAATAAATGGTTTATTACTATAGTTGTAAGCAGATATCCGTGTTTATTTATACATTTGTCAAAGGTATAATTCCTCCTCCTGTGGGCATCATGTGGAGGCTGGTGTATAAACAGATAATGAAGGATAATAGAATAAAACAGTAATGAGATGCAATATGTCTCAGGAGAAGATACAATTGTTAATAACTTAAAAATGATCTTATATCTGCGTTCTACTGCATCATAGTGTGTGTATAACACACGTATTACATGTTAAATTGTGTAAATAGGAGGAATTAAAGTAAAATGCTACCAATTTTTTTAAAACATGGAAGCTAAATCGTGTCACTTCCAACACTGAATTAAGACAAGATCTGTAGATAAGTGCACCAACACACATATATAGCAACACATTACGCCATGTCTGAGTTCTGCTGCATTTTGTCAAAACTGACGATCCACAGTATACAATTAAATGAACCCTAAATAGTCACGCTTGTCACGAGGCTTTTACGTTTTCATTCTGTTACTCTATGTGCTTTTGTGTGGCTCTAAACACCGTGTCTGTCTCTTATAATCTTTGTCATTTGTGCTTGGCATCTGAGATGTGTTTTGAAGTCAGGTGCATCAAGTGTTTCGATTATTGAATTAGCCTGATCATGTTCACAGTTTGGTTTGAGAAAGTGCATCTAATGCATCAGCTGTTGTAAGTTGACTGATATCCACAATTACCTTTTTTTGGGAGTATCCATTGCTTTCTATTGAATAAACTGAACTAAATCTGTGTATTCCTCATACTGTACATATCCCAGTCTTTGATCAAGGATTGAAGCTACACCATGTTGAATATTGTCTTGGACACTCACACTAACTTAATTTATTCTGAAATCACTTATATTTTAGAAGGTACTAATTATTAAGTAAGTGAAAAACATCGTAGTTACAGGCACTAATGATGTTTTAAGGGCTTTGTGTGTATATAGAGTCACATTTAAGAATGAAAAATATGTGCCAGTTTGAGAATTCCTGTTTGAACCTCCTACCAAGTTAATTTAGTGATAGTGTGATGCAATTATAGTTTTTTACATTGAAATATAAACAAGCTCTCTATTGAAATGCAGTATAACACGGGTATGTGAACAATGCACTATAAGCTATAAATCAAACCGTGAAAGAATTACATTTAATCTAATATGAACTCTACCTTAATAATAATATAAATGATATCTTTCTTTAATTCAATTGGCACTAGCTATGTGCATATTGCTAATATAATTCTGTATTTCCATATTTAATGATGCATGCTTTTCATGGTGAATTTTACTTAGAAAATGTCGTCTTTAATGAACCTTAGAAAAATCTCTAATAGGCATAATCTCAGAAAATGTAACTTCTTTATTTAAAAGGTTCTGGGGCCAATTTTGCTGAGTGCAGTACTTAAAATCCAATAGCTGAAGTCTTGGGGAACAAATGTATCTATTTGCAAAGGAAGAATGAGCAAATAGATTGTAATTCAAATGGCAGGGTACAGCAGTACTGGACTTCAAACTGCAAATGCTTTCATAATTCCTGTGAGAGGGAGTATGCATGCACATGCACACTTCATTTTATTAGAATAGAATGGCCTTAAACAGCCTTAAAATGGAGCAAACTAGCTTAGGCAGATGCACTACATGTTAAATATAACAATCGTGAAATGTTGCCAAAATCTCCCTCAAGCAGAACTCAATAATTATTATTAATCATAACAAAAATAGTGCTATGCAAAGTAGTTTAAAGTTTCTCTTTTGATCAAATGCACTAGACTTTTGATATGAAAAAAAGTATCTCCATGCATTTGGACATGTGTGACATGAAGTGTGTGATTTCAGGATAAAGATATGATTTCCAGAGAAAGGTGTTCGATGAGGTTCTGCACTGGTTGAGTGGACAAATATGCTCTCCCGGGAAACCGTCTGTGCTTTGCGGTTGAATTAAACTCATGCTCTGCTGTTACATCTCTTTTCTCCCTTTCCTGTCTATCTACAAACAGTATACGTGCACACATACACACACACACACACACACCTACACACACACGTGCACACACACACACACACACACAGAGAAGTTTTAAATTAGCTGCACATTGTGAGTGGTGTTATTCTCTATGCAGCTGTGTACAAGCACACTGTCGTTCAGTTGCTATTTAAACTCAGAAATCCATGACTGAGAGACACAAACACTGGACTCGAGCCCGAGGAGGAAGACAGGACTGAAAAACTCTGCTGAGAAAATGAGAATAAATGGATGTCAATCTCCATGTGGAATTGGTAACCAATGATCCATTAAGGCAGCCTGTCCACAACAGACAGACAAAAAAGCCTGAATTAGAAGTGCCTGACATTTCAGTTAATTGCGCTAACCATGTCAGCTCCACAGTAGCTGCAAACCAGGTTAAGTCTTAACCTTCTATTCACCATATAAAACAGGAGCAAAGGCCTTGTGCAGGGCTTATGAATGCAGGGATCACTGCTTGCAAATGATGCATACATTACTTGAAATATTGGAGTGAATTTACATTTGATGAATGAGTAAATAAGCACAATAGAATTGCTTCAAAACATAAAAAAACATAAAGTTGTATCATTGAAAAGGGGACAGAAACCAATAGGATACAGCAGATATACAGGCTTAAATGAATTGGCAGTGAAGGAGAAAAGTGTCAAGCCTCTCCCACTGACTCAACAAAAGGAAGCACAACTTGCTGTCATGAAAGCAAAAGCTTTATTCATGTTTGAAATTACACAACTACCACAAGGAAGACTTTTCAGTCCAGGGTGTAGTCTGGTTAGAAAGTAACACTAAACATCTTTAATACATTAGAATCACTGCCACAAATCATTGGTCATGACTTTTTCAGTTTCAGAATCACATACAATAGAAAAGAGAGAAAACAAGTTTTGAACCCTGTTGAACAGAGCTGGAAATGTACAGTTCTGAATACTGAAACCTCTATGCATTACAGTTTTTATAGTGATTTTTTTTTCTCTTTTTTCTGCATGATTTAGTAACAAGATGAGCAACATTCAAAATGTTTTTTTTTCTTCTTCAATATTTACAACAGTTTCACTGTTTGGTGTTAATTTATCAACAATGTTAATCGCACCCCCTCGTAAAAGCCACAGACCAACAACTTCTTCTTCACCCCCCCCCCCGTCTTGTTTTCATGGTATTAATATTGTTATCATTTTTTATTTTTGTCATTTTAAGTTGCAGTACAGCAACAGCATTTTATTAAAAGATTAAAATATACATTAGATTACATAGAGGATGTAGAGTTTACAGTGTTACAGGATGTAATCAAAATAACTATAAAAACATTAAATAAGGGCAAAGGAAACTATGGTGGTGATATTGTTTAGAGGTAGTAAGTGAGCACTCTAAGCTACAGAAATGTTGGAAATTATTGTTTTTTTGTGTGAATTTGAATGAGGTAATAAAGCTGTGTTTTGATTTGTGGGATGTATAATTACTCTTGAGCTATATTATGTACAACTTTTCCTGTGTAATGGGGCCTGCTCATGTGCGCCATGAAGGAATGATATACTGTGGGGGATTTGTTGATAAGCAGTACAAAAAAAAAAATGTTTACATATGTACATACTAAACATCAAATGATAAAATATGGAATGGTGTCATGTTATAGTCAAGCAATCAATTACAATTCTTTATGTTCCAGAGTTTGAATAGCCATTTCCTTCTACTAATGTACACGGCTGTAAGGCAAAAATAAATCTTGAAAGTAACTACAAAGCTGCCATTGAGCTGTCAACAGTAGCATTGTTGAGTTGCTGGACAAGATTGCATTCACATTACAGTCAAAGAAACAGCTGCTTTAATCTATGTATTGTAAGAACTGAAAGAGAACCCAATTATCAAAATGGGAGTAGCAATTAAAGCAAGAATCAAACAAATGGCTGCATTTAAAATGTCAAATGAAATGTGTGAATGTCATCAAGTACTTTAAGTTCAGAGGAGCTAATTATCCTGAAAGTTTACTGAGTGCCACCTCAGAGCTGTTTTCTGTTTGTACATGTGTGTGCTTACCCCTACGACAAACAAATAAGAGCATGATGATCACATCTGATTTATGTAGACAGAAAGAAAACACTGAACGATCAGGAAACACTGGTGGGTGTTAATGATGATGTCATTTGTGTGTGGCAAGTTTTAAGGTACAGGACAAACCAATCTGTTGGGAAAAGTAGTTTTTTTTTTGTATATCCTCTGCAGTCAGTGAAAAGAGTCCATGCCCAGTTTGAGGCGAAGATGCATTAACAGCGGATCAATTCGAGGTATCGGAGTGCACACTTCCGGGTCCTTCTGTCGGAGATATTACAGAAGACGGAGTCGGTGCATCTTGCCATCCCCCATTAGCCTGGGACACAAACGGAAAAGGTTGAGATTACAATCACATTCTCTGCAATATGAGCTTGGTACATTTTTATCCCCAAAATGTAACACAACACAAACTAGATTCTGGGTGCACTAATGTGTCAGCTGATATCAACGTGTTTTACATACACCGGCGCTGTGTGATAAGTCTTTGCATTACAGTAGCATCAGCATCTTGGAAACAAATTTGTCTCGTGTCCCGACCAATAGGAGCAGTCCCTGGAATCAGTGTCTAAGCAGATTTCGGCAGCAGGCCGACAGCTTGTCGCTACATATTCTCCTGTCAGTCAAGAAGAGGGAGGGCTCGGGCCGAGTGAGGTGGGGGGAGCTGAGTGAAAGTGACAGGGCAGGGCCTCTCCAAGAGAGCCAGTCTTAGCCAGCTTGACTTTGCTTTGCTCCAGGCATGACCTAGCCTTTACTGGATCCTTCTACGTCACCACCAACAAAGCTAAAGGTTAGTCTATGCTAATATATCTGTGTGGAACTTTTAAGGTTTGTTGCTACAACATAGGAGGTTTGCCACAATTTGACTTCTTCAAAATATTGTATTTATTACTATATTTTCTTCCGATTCTCTCTTGTCGTGGCTGCTCAGTGCCGTGAGTTGCTGTTTTAGCAGGGATCATGCTGAGCTCTGGTGAGCCAGTAGGCACAGGTCTCCACGGCGCATGGAAGTGAGAAACCTTGTGAGAAAGTGAAAAACGCTTGATCCTGGTAGGAGCTGACATGTCTGAAGAGCTTATAGCAATAAGGCTTCAGCAAAGCCAACATGACACCAAAAGCACTGAATGCTGGCAACAGCCCCCACCATTTGTTTACATGAAATGTGTTAATTCTTTTTTGCATGAATATATTTCTTTTTTTTCGAGTAACACTGCTGTAAATAGAATACCCTATTTTTGATGATTGAGTTTCAAATAATATTAGAATGTAAATATGCGTGCCTTTTACCCAACAGGCATAACAGTGTAAAGAGAGCAAAATACTGAGGTTCTGTTATAGTGCAGAGAGAGAGAGAGAGAGAGAGAGAGAGAGAGAGAGAGAGAGCTGTCTGATACTATTGCTCTCTCTTTTCCCTTTCTCTTCATCCTCCCTCATCAACGAAATTAATCTTTACTCTGATGGCCTCAGATTGTGAGCTGCTTTACAAAAAGGAGCCATATCAAACCTCATCAAGGAAGATGGAAGTCATGTCTGGAAAATGCTGCGGGGGGATCACATGTTCGTATTTTATCGTGAAGATAAGGCTATGGAAAATACCGTGAAGCATTTCAAAACAGCTAAATGCGACAGATACCGTGTGGAGAAAAAAAAAGCACCTTTTTTCCATCTCATTTTTGGTTTGAGTCACACAAAGTATTAAAAAATGTTTATTAAAGTAAAGCTGAAGATTGCTCTGTAATGTGATTTTTTTTATTCATTTTTTTTATTCATATCAGGAAACAAAGTGACAAGATGCTATGTCTGCTATGGGAAAACATATGCAAGGTTATGTCTCTCTGTACCTGCCATGTGTATAGTAGAATATAATATACATTCATTAGCTATAATTTAAATATAACCGTGCAGCAGATATGTAACCGTTAAAAGCTTTACTTACAGTTAACCCATGTGGACTATACATTGTGTTCCTCCCAAGAGCATCATTGTATCCTGCCGTCTGACTGATAACATGGCGCAGGGTATCCACCTGAGGGGACAGACAAGGTGGACAAGGTGGTCAACTCAGTGTCTCAAAGCAGGTCAACACTAACTGTAAACATGCTCAGTGAAGCAACAGATACTGACTAGTGTGAAATCACAAAGGGAATCCTGAGACAGCACATTTGTAACGCAGCTAATAGATTTTCTAATGAAACAACAAGGACACACTGACATTACTAGCATGCTCAAAATCTATTACATTTTCTATACTGGCTATGGAATAATAAAGAAAAGCGTTCACGACAATCATACAACAAATACACTATGTATGTTTTAACTTTTATTTTTTACTTTAATCATGAATAAGCATAGGTTGTTGTTTTTTTTTTTACATGTGTGTCATTTGTGCAGCTGCGTTAAACTTACAGAATGGAAGACATCAACAACAAACAATAACAAGATGAGACAGGAAGATAGCAATATAGAATACAGGAAAAAAGGGGGAAAACACAGTACCAAAAACCCAATACCAACCCAAGAGTTCAAGTCAAAGCCAAATGCATTCACAAAATGTTTTACTTAAGGTGTTTGGAATAGTAACCAGGAAATTGCTTTGCGGCATGATAGCAGTGGGGTGGGATTATATTTTGGCTGCCAAAATATTCCATCCAAAGCGAAATAGTCAGTAAACACTTTAGTCAATCGGAGGTTATAGAAGGCCTCGCCGTGGTAATTTGAACTGCTGTATGAGCAGCGTGTTTTTCTTCTTATTTTCTATTTTTGGCTTAATGTGCTTCAGACTGCACTGTGGATGGCTCAGTGCACAGGCAAGACAAGGACAGCTCTCTGCACTGGTAGTCAGCAACTGTCCCCGATTGTTGATCCTACCTGTGACTGTACATTGGCTCCGACTTGTGCCCCTTGGTAAGAATCCCCATTCAGACTCTGCATGCTCAAGAACATGTCCCCAGAGTTTGGGAGGTTAAAAGAACCTGAAGAACCTGGAAAGGGAGGATGTAAGTAGCTGAATACACGAGAAGGCTATAAAGGGAAAACACAGACACGCACACGCACAAACAATGCAGACGCACACACACACCACGCACGTGTCTGCATACACAGACCCGACTCAAGCAGACAGATACACTAAAGAAAGACTCCCATAAAGCAGGCAACTACGAGGTGAAGGAGAGAAAGCAAGGGAAGCAAAGAAACAAACAGAAGAGGACAATATGCAGAAGGACTGAAGAGGATCTTTTTGTTTTTTTTACAAATGCAGTAGACTCAAATGAAATGAAAATCACACGACACAAGGGGAAAGGGGCAGTTCTATATGTGGTTGGTCGCTTAAGCTCCCAATTGTTCCACATCACCTACTTCCAATCTAACGTTGGCAGGGAGGTATCACATGGTAAATGACAAGGACAATAAGAAGCTTATGAAAAGACCAGTACCAGTAAACATGTTGGTTAAAAGAGTGTTTTTGCTCTCTGCAGAATCCAGCTGAAACTCTTCATCTTTCATCTGGAATCCTGGGTGCAAGAAAAAGGGACCACTTCATAAGCTTACCACATCCCGACGCAGGTCAACCTAGTCCAAACTCAGCATGACATTACTCATTAAACTGGACTAAACACACCCTCCTTTTAGGCTTCCTCTTTTTACATGACTCTTATTCAATATGAACTGCATATAATGCCATTTTGATATAATACTATTACTGTAGGGTACAATGCTCCCAGCAATAATGTGTCATTTCATTTAGCACAAAAAACAGCACTACCATTCAGTGGCACTACATACATTACAAATGACAGATAGTTGACAGAAAGTCAAGGGAAAACAAATCCCACTGGCATCTTTCTGAATTCTTGTTTTTTATTTTGCCAAAAATACATGTGTTCTCGGTTCACAAGTCAGGAACGCTCTCTTTATGCATGAGTTTGCTTGGCATCAACTGTCTTATAGACAGGAGACAATGTGATCCCCAAGCTGGGAGCAGAGCCTGTCACTCTTGCCTGTGTGAATCGTGCATGAGAGAGTGAGGCAGGTAGGCATCAGGTTAAGGGCTGAGATAGAGGGCAGATATTTAGTTTTTTGTCTATATGCAGGAGTGCCTACCAGAGTTAGGTGTGGTAGGGGAGTTGGCCTGGCTGTTCTGCACTGCAGTGGCTACAGCGTGTGCTGCATTTACAGCAGTCTTGGCGGCATACAGGTTGGCTTCTTCCTGAAACTTGCCGATATTTTTCTTGTACCGGATCCTTTTGTTGCCAAACCAGTTGGATACCTGTGTGGTAGAGCAGAAGGAGGAGGAGCAGAGGAGTCAGACGTCAAGCAGCCACGACACCGTGCACTGAGCAGTGTGATTGTTTCAAGATGTCATGTTTGGGTCCATCAAGTACCCAATTCCCAGCCCCTGCAGTAATGTCCGCCGGGTACACAAGCTAATTAAGCCATAATCAGGAGCCACTTGTGTCTTCTCATGGATGGGAGCATGACATGCTCTCAGTTCTGTCTCCTGACAAAACTAAAACACAAGGGGCTCCTATTGCACAGACGCTTAAGTAAATGTATTATATATAACTATATATATATATATTTCTCATATCAGGGATGACGTGATCGAAATCCTAACATTTCTCTCCATAAAATACATAAATGTTCATATTTTACCCTCTAAAGAATGCTCACTGATTCCAGATCAGTGAGTCTAGGTGATTGACACCTTATGCAAACAATTACAATTAATCAATTTAAGTGATTCAATATTACAGGGCAAAGTAATATAAAGCAGCACGTCAAATTTCACAATAACAGAAAAAAGTTAAATGTATATCTGTGTCAAAAATTTGGATTAAAGCATGCATACCACCTTATAATCTAACAAACAATCTGCTTTATTAACGGCTGGCCTGCGTAACTGTACGTAAGTGCTTTCATTCTTTTAAATAACAAAACAGCAATGAAACACTTGTTTTTATGTGTGTGTGTGTGTGTGTGTGTGTGTGTGTGTTTGTGCTCAGTGATCCTGAAAGCAACTTCTGCTTGTAATCATCAAAAACAAGAGTTAGAAGGTGAAGACCTGCAGACATGTGAAGCAGTAAACACAGACTATCAGGTCAGTCAGTGTTAATTGATGTGTGAAAGAAGAGAGAAATATTTTACCGAAGTAAAATGTAACTCTGAAGGCAGGAGGAAGTATTGACTTCAAATGAATGTCTGAAATGCTAATTTTGTTGAATCAGTCAGACGCTGAGAAGTTGTATGAGGGGTGAACCGTATGTGTGAATGCTGGCTCTGCAGTAACAGTGGAATAATAATGACACGATGCTTGTTTTTAATGGTTCTATAAATTAGAGTGTCTTGTCGCTGGGCTGCTGCCCCCCTTTCAGGCCCTGCAGCCCACGGCTGGACCAGCCAAAGAGCAGCTGCCCCTAATGACGCTTTATTTAATTTCCACCCATGTGCTTAAATTTTAATATCCCCAGCAGCCCGCCAATGCTGTGGTGTAAAAAACTGACTGGATTTGCAGGACATCAGATCATTTCTATCCTGCATGTCTCTGTGCTCTAAATCTTTAATATCTAGGCAATTAAAATTAATGACCATTCAGGCGAGGCCCACTGTTGGCAGGGTTTCCTTGACATCAATTGTTTGATGGGTTTACCTAGAGGTTAAACTAACAAGCAAGGTTTAATTGGAAGCAATGAAAGCCCTGGCCATCATCCTTTTTACTTAACCTGCTTATAGTGGATTGTAGAGCCAAAGACAATGCAATATTCTCGCTCTTTTAGACAGCTCACACAGTGCCTACACACCCCTGGAAATCATAAAGAAATGTTTTCTAAAGCTCATCCGTCTGTTTAATTTAAGAAAATGTTCATGCAAACAGTGTATTAAACAGAACTGCATATATTACAATGTCAGATGGGGTGTTTTTACAAGAAGACATATTTGTATCAATAAGTCTGAAAGTTGACAGTGGTAGATAGACACTAGTATACTTTTTTTGTATACTACAGTTGAAAAATAAACTTGAATCTGCTCTTGTCCTTTTTCATGAAGTGTGTTATGACTGTATTCTGCCACTATATGGTGTTACAAGCCTGAGACTTCACATCCTCTGGACGTTACAGCAGCCTCCTCAGCTCGAGCACATTTCTCTCCTGCCCACTGAACTCTGGCTTCAGTGATTCTCGGGTTCAGCTAAATATTGAACAAATGCACGGCACTGTAAGGTGTGGAGCACAACCCAATCTACAGAACTAATTCCCTTTTATCTTGTGGCAGGCCATGCATTCAATTGACTCCTATGTGTGGTGAGATTGAATTACCTGACATCAGCAGCCTCAAAGGCAGCGATTGTATAATGACCATGCAGGCTCCTTGCAAGAACACGATACCGCTGCCTTCATTGCTGCCCACTAGAGAGGCCGTGGAGCTGTGGTTAATAATTCAAACTATTTCACCCTATTTCAGGTCAATGCTCCTCGTAAGTCAATGTAATGCGATGCACAATCTGTCTATGATCTCAATATATCTGAGATTACAATGCCTGAAGCTTTAAATACAAATACAAAAGGTGGTCTCACTTGCTGTGATACCATCAATTATACAAGCCACATTAATAATGAATAAGAGCTCAAATCTTAGCTTCTCTGAATTCACTACGATATATACGAAATATTGAAACGCGTCACTCAGAAGAAAAATGGAAGCAATGTAAAGGAGTCTCTGCACAGGAATCTGCCTTAAATGTTGAACCATTTGCACACATTATCTCATATATGACCTCCGTAAAACCTGACACAAACCACAGGCATTCAATCCCACGCCTTCATTCAGGAGCCCAGCTCCGCTCATGCAGAGTGACAGAGGGAATAAGACGGCATCCTGTCCTCACAGAGCCACTTGGGTAATCGTAGCAATGCTCATTGTACTTTCAGGGTTCAATATTAAACAAATCAGACACATTGGCATTTCTTTTTTTTTGTTCAAGGTTCATCATCGCAGCATTTAGGTAGAACTAAAACACTGGATGTGAGCGGCATAGATCTCCCGAGGTAAAGAGGCTTTTTAAATGATCCCTGCTGAAATGATGCAGGGTGTTTCGTCAGCGATGATGTATCGAGCAAAGCCGCGGACTGATATTGGCATACCATTCACGACGGATGGTTTTTACTTAATGAGCTGCTTGTGCAATCAACAAAGCCCGCAAAAAAAAAGTATTTTGTGGGTGTTTGAAAAATGACTTATCCGAGCCCTCAGAGTGGCCCCAGCGAGTGGTTTGCGACTCTGAAAGGCCAGGGCACGGTGAGGGATAACACACTTACGGCGCACTCGGCTTCATGTCGAGCCTCCGACTTTGTTACTCACTTAAAATGAGCCAAAGCACTAAGAATAAGTCAATAAGAATGTCTGCCGTGGCCTCCGCCGGTCGAGGAGTACGCCACTAATGGGGCCTGAGATGAGTTCAAGTGAATTTTTAAAAGCCCTCTAATTTCTGCATACACTGATTTGTTCTCATGGGAACTGGAACGGTGGCCTGTTTTTGCGAGGCACTCGGAAAAACAGAGTGGAGCTCCATTTGTGAGGGTCGGTGGCCATTTCTTTAACCGCTATAAAGCACACAGCGATCAAGGAGCGGGCGGGGGGGGGAATAATCTCAGAGCGCAGTTTGAAAAAGATCCAAAAGACCACACAATTAGTCGACGCTCTACAACAAACAAACAAAAAAAAAAGAAATTGTGGTAAACAATAGCCAAAAAGTTAAGTTTTATGTGACACATTTGTACACACATAATATGGTGAGAACATGGGTGTAGCTTAAAAAATATGAATCAATCAAAAAGACTTTGTGTTCCTGTGTGACTTGAAGGTGGGATGTAAATGCTACTTATCCACTCTTTTAAAAAATGTCAATTCAAACTTCAAATACTGTTATTCATGATAACATTAGCAGTGATCCAGTAGGGTGAGGGAGGGAGGTTCTGTGCAGTGGAAAACTGTGAGGCTATCACATACATAAACAAAAGAGTTACAAAAAATGAAAACAGTGGATCAGGAGAAGTTATGACATACCTGTGATACTGTGATGGTGCTTCCCACCCCCTGAAGGCAAAAAAGAATGGGCTTTTACAGTATCTGACTCTTCATGACTACACTCAATATACCCCTCAACACCCCCTCCCCACACAGAAAAAAACACCGCAGATTATTGTATAGATTCATGTTTCTGTGATATAGTGTCTCATGAGGACAACCATAGAACAATAGAGTATCAAAAAAATCTAGATAGTAGTCACAATCATAGCAGAAAAAACGAGAGCACAGGATAATAATACTCTGGATGTGGGGGTTAGGTGTGAGAGATATTGCCTTCAGGTTTACCCAACAAGGAGGCTCTACTATATATAAAGTGGGGAAGTCTAAAATATAACTGTGAATTAGCAGAGTCCTGCAAGGTCACTTGAACAGCAAAACATACAAATAAATAGCCAGTATCGTCTAGTGTTTTGAAGCACCAGACTTTAACTGCTTTTCCTAACCTAATGGATGATGCCATTTTTCTTCCCAGCTTATGACCTGAGCGACTGACCAGGCAACAGAGAGAGCACACATGGTGGATGGGAATGAGAGGGGGAAATGGCAGGGGACCCAGCGTTGGGGCGGCTAAGGAAGGACAGCATAGTGCTTTGATTGAGGCCAAGATGATATAGGCCTTCCCTCCCTGTGGCCCTGCTCTGACTGACTGGGACCAGCCTTGACTGAAGCATCATTAGGCAGCCACAATGTCAAGGTTAGCTGAGGACATTGTGTCTTGGTGGTGTGACCTACGGTAACTATCCCTCCAGGCTTTAGCCTGTCCCCCCCCCCCTGATTGCCAACCAGCTACTGTTAGAGGAGCATTACCCACCTGGGAAACTGTGATGCTGCACTTCTTCGCCAGCTCCTCCTTAGCCTCCTCACTTGGATACGGGTTGCTGAGGTGCGAGTAGAAGTATTCGTTCAAAATTTCCGTCGCCTGCTTGCTGAAGTTTCTCCTTTTCCGCCTGAGTGGGGAGCAGAGCGAGAGAAAGGCCGAGCGCGCCTATTAGCAGGACCAGCATTAACTCATCCACTTGGACTGCACAAATTGCACAATCAATCTCACACATAAACGGTGAAAATAATGAGGAATGGGCTCTAAGGGCCCTCAGGAGCAGAATATCGTGTCCCGCTCCAAGAGGCTCGTCAACACGCAGAAGAACAGACTCCGACCAATAGACTGACAAGCCCATACACACACACACACACACACACACACACAAACAAACACACGCACAGTGACAAAACACATACAATGTTTAATTTGGTCTGTTGGTCTGAAATCTCCAGTCCAAGCATGTAATGTGTAGAGTTTAGTGCAGCGGATGGGTGGGCTTTGTGATGGAGCGCAAAAGCCCAGTCGGAGTGCATCTCGGTACATTATAGAAATCATGGCATGCACAGTTGAGCATTGCTCCTGAAGTGCCACAGCCCCAGGGATCTCCAGTAGAAACAAGCAAACTCTAACTAGATCTGGGTCCCCATCCCTCCCAAGGGCACTACTTATCATGTTGTTGAGCATTTGCTTATTTTGCCTTGTTTACTAGCGCTTCACCAAGGCAGTGGGCAAGCAAATGTGCTTCCACTTGGCTTGTTTGGCACAAACTTGTGCCGCTCTCTGCAGAGCGCCCACGCTGCACCACACTGTGAGTGATTAGAGCAAATCCACAACACCTGCTGATGACCTCCCCTCCATCCATTACCAACGACTCGGCCCCCCCATTTCATTTCGCCCTAACTGTTCTCAGGTGTGGGGCCAGTGATTGTCTTGAAAATGGATAATGCATGGAACATGGACATAATTAAAATCATGCATCTCTGCAGTGCTCACACTGTGTGCTGTGCCAGAAAAGTGAGAGGAGAAACAGACTTCCGACCTGCACACAGTCTAAACCTGACCTTATATGGGTCATACGGAAGCAATAAAAGTTTCTAGATACAAAATATACACACACACTAAAAATATGTACAACAACACTACACAATCCACTGACCTGGCATCAAGGAATCTGGAGCGCAGGATCATGACAGCCTCACAGGTGCTCTGTTTCAGCTGCATCTGGATGGAGCTGAATTTACGGTGGATGATTCCCACCATACGCTCAATCTCTTTGGGGGAGATGGGCCGCGTGCGAGACTGTTCCCTCAGCAGGTTCATCACATGGGTAGTGAATTCGTTGCATGCCTGCCAAGTGACAGAGAGACACAAAGTGCAGCCAAGAGTTCTGTAAATGTCCCACGTCACAGCAGTGAACTTACACAAAGCTCTTTGACGGATATTCTAAAGTTGTGAACGTTTTTTTTTTTTTTTTTACATGCAAGCTCTTTTTGTTAAAAGCTTCCAACACAGTGCGGCGTTTGTGTATTACTTTGATGACATAATAGGTGAAGTCATCTTTGAATATAAATGCAGATTTGCAATTTGGCTTGGCCCTAATGCAGAGCGAACTCAAACAGCTTTTCGTTAAACCAGTAGTTCATACATGATTAATTAGAATAACTCATTTACGTAGTGCACACTTTAGCTCATTACTCTGAGCAAAATTCGTTAAGTATTTACATTTAGATAATTAAAACCTGGAAACACCCTTAAGAAAGATGCATTTACTCCCACCTCCTCTCTCAGAGAGCAGGGAGTAAATTAGTCTAATTTACCTCACTGGCTTGCTGAGGCATCACTATTACGCCTTCTATTTTCGCCCATAATGCCTGTGTTTAATGGTGGGCTCAAAGTGCTAGGTGAAGGAGCTGATCATACTTTCATTTAACACAGATGACTAAGGTGGATCTCTATAATCAGCTACAACACAGTGAATGAAATTGCTATTTTTTTCCCCTAACTGATAACACATTCTCCCCATCGAGCATATTCCCTGCTTTTTTTTTTTGGTAATGCAAGGAATAAGCTGTTCTGAATAGATGTGAAGTTTGAACTCAATAGGTCTACTTTAATACCAACTGAAATGTTAAATAGCTGGTGGGAGTCACATGGTTATTTAAACCTTTTAAATGGTTAAAAAACACATAACAACATTGAAGTTATTGTCATTTTCTTGGCGGTAGTACATGGAGTTGTGTGGTATTTCAAGCCAAAAAGAAGAAAAGAATCCTGAAGTCTCCTAACCTGTTCGTATTTCTCCAGCTCTGTGTGGTAGATCTGTCTGATCTGGGTGAGTTTGGCTCTGTAGTCGGAATGTTCAATGGAGTTGTCGGCCGCCCCTCCGGAGGCCGCGGCTGCAGCTGCGGCGGCGGCGGATCCGCCACCTTTCTCTGGTCCTGCCACGCCCTCTGCCAGCAGCATGTTGTCCAAACGCATGAGCTGGGGGTCTGGGGGGTCCTCCTCCTGGGAACCACGGATGCTGAGACCTGTAGCAAAACACACAAACAGGAACACTGGGTCAACTAACGTCATCCAGAGATGGTAACACAAGAACAATGAGAAATAAAACTGATAAAATAGGCCCAATTTGAATTGTTAAGAGCAATTAAAAGCATTATGTCTGCGTAGTCTGCTTCAGTATAGTATGATGTTTCCCCTGCAGTTATGAACTGGGTGCCTGTTGTGTGTGTGTGTGTGCTGCGTTCCTGTCGCCCATGTCTACGCCTGTTCTCTTTTATTTACACACTGCGCTGCACACTGTGTGTACGGGAAGGCTGACATGACAGCAACATCCATAAACTGACAAATGCTCAATGGTGAAGTGGCACTTCTACACTGCGAAAGGATGCTAAACAGAAAACTATACCTCTAGTGAGTGTCTCTGTCTTTGACACAGTGAATGCTGGGAACTCCAAAAAGTAACCTCATTTCTATCTGCTTATACAGCTTGAATCTTGTATAATTTTACTATCCTGATTTTGCAATATTCTAAGAAGTAATAAAAATGTGCTGGTGAAGTAAAAATCTACATAGGGCAAAATGAGCGTGGAGCCCATTTTATGTAAAGTGCTCATTCATGAATTCTGTCTTCGCTCTCAGACCCTGCTGCTTATTTACTCTGGTTTTCTGTCTCGCTGGTCTGTCAGCAAGTCGTAATCACCCAGCAGATAGCATACATGCTCACCTTGATGCATTGGCAATGTACCCACAATGCCAGGCTTCACAGAGAATAAACAAACAAAAGAACACTGCGGGTCAGAATTACAACTAAAACAAGCTCGGGCAATCCACTCTAATAAGTGGATACAAATGTGGCTCAATGGGCAGTAAATACTGAGTGGCTACTCGAACGTTATGATTACCAGAGTTGTTTCAATTCAATAATCCCTCCCGCAATTCAAGGATTTTCAACAGCTCATTACAGCTTCATTAAGATATGGCCAGCCACTGGATTCTAAATAAGGAGATTAGTGGCTCTATTGTGTCAGCCAGTAGGCATGCAATCAGAGGAGCCCTTTTACCACGCTTTGACCGACTGACCCTGCACGCCGGCCACAGGAGGAAATACTAGAAAGAAAAACCCTTTCTTCTCTCTTATAAACACATTCCTGAATAAAAAAAAAAAAAATTAGGAAACATATCATATTTTAGCGACTCCTCCTGTTTTCATCTCTGCTGGTGTTTTGTTCGACTGCAGTGCCAGTGAAAAACAAATTTGCCTCTATTTATGGATCGGCTGGCTTCGAGTCTTTTAGGTGTAATGGTGTGAGAGGAGTGGATGAATGTGGCTATTTGTGTTGGAGACATTGAGATGCTGGACAAGGCTCCATCAGGCTTGCAGAGCCAAGCCATCCATGTGGACAATATGCCGCTGCTCCACTAACCCTCATCCACATCACGGTGCATCTGCGCAACTCCACCCAAAGCTCTCGTTCTGGACAGGCTTGACTGTTTCTTTTCCAGTTTGTGCAGCATGAAAACAAAATGGCACATGATTCAAATGTTGACCGACCAGGTGGGCCGCGCTACATATCTCAACATGCTCTAATAGCTGGTGGTTTGTCTGCCATTATTTCCCTAATTCAGTATTTCCTCCCACTCTAGGATTCAACTGAAGTTCAGCGGGCTGCACTTTCCTTTGTGCTGCGAGTGGTGGTAAGTAGGTAGGCATGTTTTTCATGTCAGGTATATTAAATATAACTCTGGGACACAGCGTACATTTCCCCACCAAACCCAGTTGTCACTTTCACTCCACTCACTCTATATCCAGGGGAAATTCAGCTGAGGGAATTTACAGGGCTTTTCAGCTAAATGGGCATAAATCACTGATTTCATTCAAACTAAATAATCACAGGCCATAAAGAGCTACTAGTCTCTTACCATATATTACCTCAAAGTTCCAGTGTGCAATAATGTGGCCATTCACGGCGAAGGAAAACAGAGCGAGACATTAGAAAGTGACATGTAATCCTGTTAGTCCACTGACATGCGGAGTGGCCGTGACATTTTTATCATACATGTCCATTTCTATTTGGGAAATCAACGGGATAAAAATGATTACTGCACTGCCCTGAGAAGCAGACGGCCCTGCACGAGTCCACCAGGGTGTGTTTGTGCCACAGCAGCTGCAGCTGGCCATTCATAACTCACATGTTGGGAGGGATGATGCGTCCGTCTTAAATACAAAACAAATTTGAAAAATAAGAAAACATAGCCTAGAGAAAAACTATTTTAAAAACAGGCGCAATGTATCTCTGTCTCGCTGTGCACCTTTTGTTGAATGGGCTAAAGATTGTGGATTCAACTGTCTAAGCTCGGTGCCATCACACGACTTCCACAAAATAGGCTCAAGCGAGATAATATCTTTAATTTGCTGTGTGGTTGACAAATCTGTATAGTAACTTGCAAAGCCACAGTCACATTCTAGCACCCGCAATGCTGCTCGCCTGCTCAAATCTTTATCCTGTTTTTGTCTGATGATATGGGTATTAAAACAAGTTTGGGCACCAGAGTTTAGCTCTAATCCACCTCCACAGTCAAAGTGGGATTAATCTCAGTGCAAAGAGAAAGTGCTGGAGTCGTGTCACCTTGGTAAAGCCCGCGAGCAATTGGAACTTAAGAATGAAAAATCTATATGTGGTCTGGTTATTTCACACAACTCTGATGATGCTGGCTCACGTAATTACCAGAACGAATCTAATGATGTAAAAGAAAAGACAAAAAAAATCTGAAATTGTTATAATAATGTAACATGTCCTTAATCTGCCTCATTTGTCATTCAACAATACAGGTGGAGTAGCTGGGGAAAAAGCACTTGCCTATATGATTGTTCCTCATTTCTCCTCTGTGGCTGAGACAAAAAGAGACACTGTGATTAATCCATCCCTATCAGTCAAGGGTGGCTCTTCTTTTCATTTTTTACAGGTTTCACCGTCCGTATCAGATCCCAGGAAGTAACAAATTTGACAGATAAAGACAATGCAGCCCCTTTCGCTCATACACTCTCCCCTGTTCTCTGTTTATAATCATTTCCGGTTCTGGGCTGTTGTCTCGTACATCATTCCCTGCTTGAAGCCCTGACAGTGATCTGAGCACTGCCTCGGGCCGCTCTCCTTTCCTCCCACCTCTTTCCCCCCCTGTGCCCTCTTTTATTCTGTGGGCTTAGCTGACCTTTGGCCCGCTGCTTGTTTACTCTCATCACTGAAGTGTGAGCAGGAGAGCCATAAAGGCAGAGCCCTGCTGGGTTAATGTGGCCTGCTGAAGAGAGAAGGGGTGGCTCTGGGCTCCTCCACCTCATTCTGCTGCACTGAATGCACTGTCAGATGCCAGACAATACCCTACAAGAGCAGCGCTTCTTGCAGATAAAGCCAGAGATTTGTCTTTTGTCGTTTTTTGTAGTTTTTTTGTTGTTGTTTCTCAATGCTAAATTGTTGCTGGTTGCAGAAATATGCATTGCAGTGAAGTGGCCCTGCCTGTGTGTTTAACCGTGTTTGACGATACACACACAGAGTCTCTGTTACTTCCACCACTGTTTCTAAAACATCATGTTCATTACAAGTAACCCTGACCTCCTGCAGCTCCTCTCCTACCCAGCACCTCCAGTGAACAGCTCTGGCCACGTATCGACACTCTGTTCATCTAATTGCATTGATCCGCAAAGGTCTCCCAAAGCTAACTAATCGAAACAGAATTTATTTTCTGTCAATATTTGCAAAGGTCATCTCTCTTAAAGCCGAGGAGTAGACGCTGTGAGCAGAGAGGCGGCTCGGAGGAAGGAGGAGGAGGACCGTGGCACCTAGCCTGTTACTGATGCTCGTCCAAGGTGAGCTTTAACTCCGGCTTGGCACTCAGGATCCAAGGCTTCTAATCCAGCGTGTTATTAAAACCCGCTGCCAAAGCAACACACTGGAGACTACAGAGGGCTTAGAGTATCCGTTTCACAAAGAGGCCAGTGTCACTACAGCCGCGTTCCACATCTCCTTTGACTTCATATCATCTCCTTTGTCGTGGCGCCTGGATCAGTGACTTTCAGCTCCAGAAGCGGGGAGCTGGATCAAATTACCATTGAAAATCTTTTGTTCTGACAAATGAAACATAAGGATCCGCTTTCATTGATGTTCTTAAAGCCTTTTTTAAGCTTGGCCTACATCCACATGGCACAAAGAATCTGAGAGAATGCCTGCGGGCTCTCTCTAGCATGTACAGTAATTAACATGCCATTAACACATTAATACACATTAACTATTCCCAATGTTAATGGCAGAGTAATTACCATACCTGATACCGCACTGTGGGGAAGCCGAGGCGCATTTGCCACTTTGTGCTTCACTTTCTTTGTTGAGTGAGCTGAAAAGAAGTATTTGGGAGGATGGCTCATTCTGCTTTCCTCTGAAAATATCAGTGGCCGTGCACGTGTCTGCATTGAAGAGTGGCCTCGCGAGCCCTGAAAGTGCTTTTACACACATCATGTAGCTGTTCTGATCCCAGAAAAAAAAACACACCTGAAAGGAAGAAAGTTCTCATTGAAAATAATTAAGGATTGGCTGTAGAGGTGAGGCCAAAATACCGGAGGGTGGTACAGAGCGTCTGGTGATTAAATGCAGAGTAAAAGGAGGCAGGGAATGGGCCCTAAACTGGGGAATCCCTGTCTAGAATGATGATGTATTTCCTCCCAGTGTGGTGAGTGATAAGCTAATCAGCCGTGCTGACAGTGAAGTGTTACAGCCCCTCAGTGCTAGGTCAAGACTTCTCCCATCATACACCACCAGCACACACTAAACAGACAGCGCGTGGAGGTGGCTGTGGGGAGTGGCTCTGGTCAGTAAAAGAAGATCTCTTTCAGTTCAGGTAACCTTTGTCCCACGATGATGATGAGACCCCCCCAACTCCCCTCCATTCCATAAGAAGAGGCTGTGACAGTGGGGGGGAAGGAGGACGACTAAAAGACATGCAGGGAGAGGGGTTGGGCGAAGGGGGGGGGGGGGGG